AGAGGTTGTTGAAAGGAAAATTTGAAAAACACAGGAAAATGGAGAGAAGAAAAACATGGTTCCCACCCGTGGTTCTCACACTCAAAGACTGTGGCTGCTTCGAGCATATTGTGCTCCATCTTAAATCCTTCAGCAGCTTCCTTTGCTGATATTGTAAGATCTTAAATCCTAATCTGGCCCTTCCTTCTCCCCCTACCCCTGTCTGCTTTGATTTATCCTCTCCCTGACTAAAAACTGTCTTTTAGTTTCTCAAAATTTCTACTCTCTGTTGCCTTTTTCTATATGACTACGGCAATTATTTCTGCCTCAAGTGTAAGTTCTCTCTTTATTTGGGCTAATTCTAATATACCCTTCAGATCTCAACTTTCATTCATTTGTTCATGCATTCACTCTGCCCTGTGTAGTTGGGCAGGGTCCTGTGCTGGAAAGGTCCCTGTGCTCTGCTGTCCCCATCTTCAAATCCTTCATAATTTTTGAACCGGGAGCCGTCCCTTTTTGATTTTGCACTGGCCCCTGTGCTCAGCGGGTCCTGTTTGTCATCTACTAGGCACCATTGCACTGGTGTTGGGGTTACAGTGGAGGACAGCGAAGGTATGCTGTCCTGTAGAGCTTTCAGATTATTGCAGGATGTAGCCATTAATCAAACGACCAGAAAATAAATGTAAAATTACAAGTTGGATAAAGGCTACAAAGGAAAGATATCTTATGGGAACTTGGTTTAGCCAAGGAAGTCAGGAGACCCTTCTCTGAGGAAGTAGGTGTTTACTTGAGTCTCAAAGGGTGAGAAGTAAACCAGGGCTCCCTGGTTTACTAAGGCTCCCCCTTCACCCCTGCACACATTTGGTTAGGTCTTCTTGTTCTATTTTTCTCATTATATCCTGAACTTCTTTTTTATCAAGTTCATTAATTGTGTATTACCCTACTTTCCGGAGATCCCAGAGGGTGACTTCCTTTTCTCCATTTTATCCTCAGAGCATGGCACTGTGCCTGGTACTTAGTATTTAAGTAGTAATTGTGAATGAAAAGATTATCAAATTTTTTAGTGCCATCTTTGTAAGCATAATTAACTTTTTCCCCATATACAATTCAGTAGCCTACATTTTATCTTTTTTTTTTTTTTGCAGTTTTTGGCTGGGGCTGGGTTTGACCCACCACCTCTGGTATATAGGGTGGGTGCCCTACTCCTTTGAGCCAGGGGAGCTGCCCTACATTTTATCTTATTTTAAAATATTTTTGTAGACTCCAGTTCTTGCTATATTACCTAGGCTGATCTCAGTTTCCTGGTGTCAAGCAATTCTTCCACCTCACCCCAGGCTCCAAAAGTGCTGGAATTACAGGCATGAGCAACTCTGCCTGCCAGTAGCCTGTATTTTTTTTTTTTTTTTTTTTGAGACAGAACCTCAAGCTGTCGCCCTGGGTAGAGTGCTGTGGTGTCACAGCTCACAGCAACCTCTAACTCCTGGGCTCAAGCGACTCTCTTGCCTCAGCCTCCCAAGTAGCTGGGACTAAAGGCACCCACCACAATACCTGGCTATTTTTTAATTGTAGTTGTCATTGTTGTTTGGCAGGCCCAGGCTGGATTCAAACTCCACAGTTCTAGTGTATGTGGCTGGCTTGAGCTACAGGTGCTGAGCCGAGTAGCCTGTATTTTAAAAGATCTATGTCCTATAAAAAACTTTTTCCTTTTTTTTTTTTCTTTAAAGACAGACTCTCACCCTGTCGCCCTTGGTAGAGTGCTATGGTGTCACAACTCACAGCAACCTCCAGCTCTTGGGCTTAGGCAATTCTCTCGCCTCAGCCTCCCTAGTAGCTGGGACTACAGGCGCCCACCACAATGCCTGGCAATTTTTTTGTTGCAATTTGGCTGGGGCTGGGTTCAATCCCACCACCATTGGTATATGGGGCCGGCGCCCTACTCACAGAGCCACAGGAGCCACAGGTGCCACCACCACTCCTTTTTTTTTTTTTTTTTAACAAACTTCATAAAGTGGCTAAAAGTCTTTGAAAAATTCATGTTGGGAATGAGTTTGAGGGAGAGGAGATTAGAAGTAAAGAGATTAGGTTGGAGACAATAGGTATAAAGTGGAAGAGGGTTGGAATTTAATCGTATTTATTTACTTATTTAGTAACATTTACTAGGGACTTACTATAAGCCAGGTACTGTATTAGGCACTGGCAATATACTGATTAAAAAAGAGAGAGACAATTCCCTCATGGAATTATAGTGTAGTGCCATGGAATTACAGTGTAGTGAGTAGCAATATATTGGGGATAAAAAGGAAAAAAATCCTTTCTCCCTTTTCAGCCTCTTCATAGATGGAGCAATGCTATGTATGTAGGGAGTGAAAGCCTTCCTTTAGATATGGCCTACAGATATGTCTGCAAAAATCTGAAAATTTTCCCTTCTAGTAGAGTACTTTCTCTGATAAATTTTTCTTTCTTTTTTTTTTTTTTTTTCTGAGACAGGGTCTCACTCTCTTGCCCCAGGATAAAGAACCCTGACATCAGCCTAGCTCACAGCAACCTTAAACTCCCGGGTAGTTAAGTCATCCTTCTGACTTAGCCTCTTTAGTGGCTGGGACTACAGGCGCCAGCCACTACTAATTTTTCTATTTTTAGTAGAGGCGAGGTCTCACTCTTGCTCAGGCTGGTCTCCCAACTCCTGAGCTCAAGGGATTCTCCCCCACTGGCCTCCTAGGGCTAGGAGTATTTCAATATAATGATTATTATTATTTTTTTGTTCTTTTGACTACTGTTAAAAAATCAAAAATAGCTAAATACTATGTAAGAAGAAACGGTTTATATGCTGCTATTTATTATTATTATTTTTTTGAGACAGAGCCTCAAGCTGTCACCCTGGGTAGAGTACTGTGGCATCACAGTTCACAGCAACCTCCAACTCCTGGGCTCAAGTGAATCTCCTGCTTCCGCCTCCCAAGTAGCTGGGACTACAGGCGCCCACCACAACACCCGGCTATTTTTTTGTTGCAGCCATCAT